ACACACACACACACACACACACACACACACACACACACACACACACACACACTCAGGTCCACACAAACACTTTAAAGATACTGCCGTCTTTACATCTCATTTTAAACATTGAAATTTGACCCTGCCAGGCACAGAACAAGCTAAGACACGTTCCACCCAGTACAGGCAAAGATTCTCTACTACACGATCTTTGGTAGACTACAGGCTGGACCAGCTAATCTTGTCAAGCTTTCTCAAGAGGTAACTTATCGACTACTCTATACGCTATGGCCAAGTTTACCACGCAAGACACCTTCAACCGACACATCCGTATATATCTAAGAACGCAGAACATCTTTCGAATTATATTAAGTTTTGGGTTTTTGTTTTCATTTTAAAAAATAAGTATTATAGGCGTTCTGGTCATTTTGTAAGGAATTCTTAAATGAATCTTTCAAAAGCGAGTGGTTGGCGGGTGCTCTGGAGTGGTTTACTCCTTCTTTCCTATCAAATGTCTATCGTCCTGATCTCTCCTCCTTCTTTTTTGTGTTTATTACTCTCTCGAAACACCTCTAATCTTCGTCACTTATGTGACATTATTGCGTTGCAAGTGCCGTAAAATTCTTATTAAAAGTAAAATAAAACAAATCAACATTTCAAAAAAATATGTATAATATTATTTGGAGATTATCTCCTTTTCCCAGGATGTCGGGGCATGCATCAGGACAAATCTTCAGGAGCTAAATGGATAGTGCCCCCATTGACACAATCTAGACCTTTAGGAGGCACGCCGGATTTGACACCTGGTCCAGCCTATCATGATCAACCTGGGGTGAGAGGGATGCAACATCCAAGCAGAAAGACTAAGAAAATACTAGATGGGAATCCTACCCACTCGAGAATCGAACTCGGGTTTCCTGCATAGGACAGCACAGCGCCTAACAGCCACACAGCAAACTCCGGTAACAACCCCCCCACCCCCCCAGAAAAAAACAACACAAAAGAACCCACCGAAACTAACAAACTGCTCTTTTTTAAAAATGTTGTTTTAAAATGATTCGAAAGAAAAACTTAAATCATGCCGATGAATTACATTTACAGTAAACAGAAATCCTGAAGAGGATAAATAAATACATTGATAGTGATTTTTTTAACAACTATGAAGAAAGAATAGGTAATGAAGATTACAGCATAAATATTAATTTGTTAATTTAAGTATAAGTATGTGTATAGGCTAACGCACCAGTTT